GCCCGCCCGCCCGCCCGCCGCCGAGGCCGGCGGCGGCGCCGGCGGCGTCGCCGTCGTCTCTCGCGGGCAGCCTTACGATCGTCTGGGCCTTCCAGATGGGGTCCGAGCATCGACTACACAAAAGAGTGACCTTTCGCCGGAGTGACCTTTAGTGCGGGCCCAATGTGGCCCCCCGATTACGGAGCGCGAGACGATAGTGGCGTCTCGCGCACTGGTGTTTGGGCCCCCCGCGACCCCCGAAAAGCCGCGCACCAAAGGGTCACTCCTGCGTGTAGTCGAGAGCAGATGGTCGGGTGTTGCGAAAGGTGCCCCTGGCCCAAGGGTGCCCCCAGCTTTTCGCTCGAGTCTGCAGCCACCGAAGCCCTCTGGGCCTCGTGATGGGGTGCTCTGGCGGCTGTGGGGGCTTCCCTGGAAAGCCTGGGGGCATACTGGGCCAGGGGCACTTCTAGCGTTAAGTCGGGCCTGTCCCTCTACAGGAGGAAAATAACAAAAAATAGTCTGGGGACCATTTGTTGACTATTTTTGAGCATTGTTGGAATATCTTTGGGTATGAAAACAACATTCGTTCAAAATCCCCCTGTAGGGGGACAGGCCCGACCTAAGTCTAGCACCACCCGAGATGGAGTTGGAGGGTCGCGCCGCATCGCCGATGCGGCTCGACGCGGAACCCGATCTTCTCCGCGCGTCGCCGACGCATCGCTGACATCGCCGAAGCATCGCCGATGCATCGGCGCTGTGGCGCGATCCCTCGACCCCCATTTGACTCGGACCCCATCACAGGAGGCCTCTATATACTCGGGGAACGAGCCATCACAGGAGGTCCGAGCCGGTTTCTCGGATCGGCACTGGGCCCCCTCCTGGCGCGCGGAGCGCGCCATGGGAGGCGCGGGAGGCGCCCAGAGGGAGGCACTGCGCCGATCCGACAAATCCGCGCGGACCTCAGATTTTCTTCAAGTGGGCTTGCCGTCTTGGAGTTCTAACTCAAACCCCTTACTGATTGGTCCGTTGCCCCCCCCCTATTCTCCAAACAGGTTTGCCCTATAGGAGTCCTGGCTCAAACCCTACTAATTGGTCCGTTGCCCCCCCTCCTAATTCCTATGCCCCCCTAATTCCTATGGCTATGCCTATGCCAATGCTCATGCCTCTCCCCTAGCTCCCGTGCCTACGCCTATGCCTATGCCTATGCCTGCTTGCTCGCTTGCTTGCTTGCTTGCTTGCGCGCTTGCACGCTTGCTTGCTTGCTTGCTTGCGTGCTTGCTTGCTTGCACGCTTGCTTGCTTGCTGAATTGCGGGTTCCAAGCATGCTTGATTCCTCTGATTCCTTGATGTGAGTCGTCAAATCTATTTGGAGCCAACGCTGGCTGATATTCCTATGCCCCCCTAATTCCTATGGCTCCAATGGCCCCCCTTATTTCCAATGGCACCCCCCAATTAATTCCAATGGCGAGACCTATGGATTCCTATGGACTCTTATGAATCGCTTGCCCTTGTTTGCTCTTGCGTGCTCTTGCTTGCTTGCTCTTGTGTGCTTGCTATCGCTTGCTTGCTCTTGCTTTCCCTTGCTTGCACTTGATCGCTGGCTCTTGCTTGCTTGTTATTGCTCGCTTGCGCTTTCTTGCTTCCGCTTGCTTTCTTGCGCTTGCTTGATTTTGCTTCTCCTGTCCTACTCCCGTCCTGCTCGCGTCCTCCTTTCGTCTTCCTATCATCCTCCTCTCGTCCTCCTTCTGTCCTCCTATCTATTTGGATTCAACGCTGGCTGACATATCTATATATGTATATTTATATATGTATCTATATATATACACATATAACGGCGCACCGGGTCCAGGGGCCCGGGGCCGGGACCCCGACCGCAAATGTGGGCTCCGGGGGGCCCGGAGGCTCGTCGGGGCTTGCCGGAGGCCTCCCCGGTCAGACAAGACGGCCCCAGAAGCGCCCAAGACGGCCCAAGAAACTTCCAAGAGGCCTCCAAGAGGGCTCCGAGATGCTGAAGATGGCCTCCAGACGTCCAAGGACGCCCCCAAGAGGCCCCAAGAAGCCTCCAACATGCGTCCCAAGAGGGCCCCTAGACGCAAAAATTGGCCCATTCCCTTCGTAAAACGTACATTTTCAACAAAGTTGTCTTTTTGGGCTTTCCGACGTTACAGGACGGCCCAAGAGGCGCCCAAGACCGCCCCAAGACGGCCCAAGAAGCTTCCAAGAGGGCCCCAGGACAGCCCAAGAGGGCCCCAAGACGGCCCAAGAGGCGCCCAAGATGGCCCAAGAGGGCCCCAAGACGGGCCCAAGAGAGCCCCAAGACGAGTTCGAGAGGGGTCCCAGACGGAGAAAGCCAACCTCGAATTCCGAGCTTCCGGCCCAAGAGGCTCCAGGAGGCGCCAAAATGCAGCCAAGAGGCGCCAAAAGGCTCCCAAAAACACCCCAAGACGTTCCGAGAGGCACCCCAAGAGAGGTCCAAGAAACAAAAATCGTGCCATTCCTATGGGAAAACGTATATTTTTCGCATGTTCGCATCTTGGGCTTTCACCGCGTCCAAGACGGCCCAAGAGGCCTCCAAGACGGCCTAGGAGGCCTCCGGGAGCGCTCCAAGGCTGCGCACGAGTGGCTCAGGACGGCCCCAAGACGGCCCAAGAGAACCCCAAGACGACTTCGAGAGGGGTCCCAGAAGGAGAAAGCCACTCTCGAATTCCGAGCTTCCGGCCCAACATATCCCAGGAGGCGCCAAAACGCCGCCCAGAGGCGCCAAAAGGCTTCCAAAATCAGCCCAAGACGTTCCGAGAGGCACCCCAAGAGAGGTCCAAGAAACAAAAATCGTGCCATTCCTATGGGAAAACGTATATTTTCGCATGTTCGCATCTTGGGCTTTCACCGCGTCCAAGACGGCCCAAGAGGCCTCCAAGACCGCCCCAAGACGGCCCAAGAAGCTTCCAAGAGGGCCCCAGGACAGCCCAAGAGGGCCCCAAGACGGCCCAAGAGGCGCCCAAGATGGCCCAAGAGGGCCCCAAGACGGGCCCAAGAGGGGGCCCAGAGGGGGACCACGAACCGCAAGCTCGAGCCTTCCGCCCCAAGAGGCCGCCAGGAGGCCCCAAGGAGGCCCCTCAAGAGGCCCCAGGAGACCCCCAAGAGGCCCAAAGGAGGCCCCGAGAAGCCCCAAATCGGCCCCCAAAATGCTTCGAACCTGCTTCCAGGAGGCCCCCGACAGGTTCAGAGGCTCCCGAGAAGCTACGTCAAACTCCCAGCGAGCGGCCGGACGAGGCCCCCCACAAAATCACAAGAGGGTTCCAGTATTTGTATCCTTCAGCGCTCTCTGGCCTTCTTCCCCCTGCCCCCTTCCCTGCGACTTTCGTTGACTCAAGCTCGCCTCCTAGCTAGAACCTAAGCGCGCGCGAAGCGCGCGCGTGGTTCTAGTATATATATATATATATATATATATATGATTGTTCGTTTCCTTGCGTACGATCGTTTTTTTTCCCAAGCATCCTGTGGTGTTGTGTCCTCGTTTTGAAGAGACAGCGCCCCGCGTCCCTCCCTCCCTCCCGCCCTCCCGCCTCCTCCTCCCGTTCCTCCCTCCTCCCATGCTTGCCTCTGCCCTCCGCGCCAGTCAACCATTTCGGCACACCCCTCACACGTTTCGTGGCCCCATAGGGAGCTCCACAGAAGGCCCCAGTGGCTGCGTTCGCATGCGCCCGCCGCACCAATTTCGGCACGCCCCTCACACGTTCCGTGGCCGCCATAATAGGGAGCTTTACCGAAGGCCGCAATGGCCGTGGCTGTGTTCGCAAGCGCCCGCCGAACCCACTTCGGCACACACACACACACACACACACCTCACACGCTTCGTGGCGCCAGAGGGCGCTCCACTCAGGGCCTCTGTGGCTGGGTTCGCATGCGCCCGCCGCGCCCCTTTCGGCACACCCCTCACACGCTTCGTGGCCCCATGGGGCGCTCCACCGAAGGCAGCAGTGACTGTGTTCGCATGCATCCGCCGCACCAATTTCGGCGCATTTCTCTCACGTTTCGGGCCCCATCAGGAGCTCCACCGAAGGCCGCAATGTCGGCATTCGCATGCACACCCCTCACACGCTTCGTGGCCCCATAGGGAGCCCCACCGAAGACAATACTCGCAACTGCGTTACTCTCAACGGCATCTGGTTGGGTCCTTCGCCGGGATAATTGGCTAGCGTGTCGCTCCACTGGCTCTGGCCCACCACGCTTCGGCTCGACACGCTGGTTATCAACTTCGCGGCCCCCCAGCGTCCACGTCCCGAGCTTTTCCGAGCCTCCCACCCCGCGGAGCGGAGCGACACGCTATCCGCTCGCAGGGCATAGCGTGTCGCCGGCGCCGCCGCGGCGACATGTTATCCCAAAGTTCCCGACCGTAGTCAGGAGACCGAATCTGTGTCAAAAGCGGCTTGTGTTAAAAACTGGCTGGAACTGCATGGCATTTGTTTAACACTTTGCCCTTGCTGAGGTGCGCACTTTCGTGTTTGGTGTTGAAAGCAGGGGGGTCCTGAAAGGCAGCAGTAGCTTAGATCCAGGTGTCGTAATTGGGCGGGGGGGCGTTTTTGTTGCTGTGTGTGGGTGTGTGTTAAAGCGGCCGCAACAGCACACACAACACAACACACACAGTACACAGCACACAGCACACACACACACACGCCACACACCACACACAGACACACAGACACACAGGCACACACACACACAGATACAGACACACACGCAGACACACAAACACACAAACACAAAAACATAAAATAACACAAAAGCACAGCAACACAAACACACAACAGCACAACCACATACACACACACACGCCCACAAACACACGACACACAACCACACAAACACACAAACACATGAACACACACACACGAGCACACGAACACACACAAGCACACAACCACACAAACACACAGAGATAACCACGCGAACGCACACAACCACACAAGCACACAACCCGCAAACACACAAACACACAAACACACACACACACACATTCA